GCATTGCCTTCCTCTGCATTGCCTTCCTCGGTATTGCCTTCCTCTGCATTGCCTTCCTCGGTACTGCCTTCCTTGACGTTGCTAGCAAAGTGTTTTGCTCATGCCTCTTTAGCTGTAAGCCCAAGACTCCAGCATCTGCGGGAGTCTACCTTGATCTTCCTCCACATCTCTCACATAATAAGTATTAGGATCAGCATACGCAACTCTTCATAGCCTCACAACAGCGTTTCATGTGGTTCAGTAGAACTGCTGAAGATTGACTGCACCCCACAACTGTTTAAAGTATCCACATCCATACACTCGACTTGCGCCGCACAGTTTGCTATATAAGAGCAAGACTTAGTCTTTCCTTGTCATTAATGCAGTAAAACACGGATAAAAATGAATGCAGTTCCGTGTTCTTACGATATGCTCTTCGGTGTCTACTTCTCTGTGTTCCTGTTCACCAGGAACCACTGATATAAACTAAAAAAGAAACTGCGTTGTAACACATCCACGCGACAACATTTCTTCTCGCTTCGGGTCACCGACATGTGGAACAGCCTCCCTGATAGCATCGTAGACGCTCCGAGTATAAACGCCTTCAAGAACAGACTAGACGAAGCTATGCAGGAACATATGTTCAGTCCTAAAATGCTTAGCACCTTACGGACCAGGGGCCATACTTTCAAAAGTCGCTAAGTTAACGTAAGTACTTCCGCTCTATTTTCTTGTGTATGATTGGTGGATTTCGCTTGAAAGGCCGTCAATGATAGGCTAATGAACTTACGATCTCTTAACTTTTTTTTGAAGGTATGGCCCCAGGCAATAAGTCCAGCAGCTATCTCAATCAATCGTCAGTTATGGAAAGATCGGGTTCCAAAGGCCGGATCCCTTGCTAATCAGGTCACGAAAAGTACAAGAATCGGCAATAGGCCATGGGCCTATTCCTTCTACGCCGACACTTCTATTCCATTCTGTTCTAATAGGATCTCCTGTTCTTCACTTGACTGTTCCCGGTTGTTCTCACGTCCTTCGCTTGACTGTTCCAGCATGTTTTCATGTCCTTCATATAACTGTTCTTTTGTGTTCTGAGGCTTTTTTCCACTGTTCCAGGCCTTGGAGATCTACACGGTGGCTGGAGTGTTCCTGATGCTGTTCCTCGGGATACTCGTTGGTGTAGTAATCCTGGTGCTGGAACACTTGGTGTTCAAGTATTACTTGCCGGAGCTTAGAAGTAAACCGAACACATCAATGTGGAAAAACAGGAACCTCATGTTCCTCAGTCAGGTGTGTCATGTTCCTAAAGTGTGCCATGTTCCTAAAGTGTGTCATGTTCCTAAAGTGTGTCATGTTCCTAAAGTGTGTCATGTTCCTAAAGTGTNCAACCCACTGTACTACCCATTGTACAACCCACTGTACTACCCATTGTACAACCCACTGTACTACCCATTGTACAACCCACTGTACTACCCATTGTACAACCCACTGTACTACCCATTGTACAACCCACTGTACTACCCATTGTACAACCCACTGTACTACCCATTGTACAACCCACTGTACTACCCATTGTACAACCCACTGTACTACCCATTGTACAACCCACTGTACTACCCATTGTACAACCCACTGTACTACCCATTGTACAACCCACTGTACTACCCATTGTACAACCCACTGTACTACCCATTGTACAACCCACTGTACTACCCATTGTACAACCCACTGTACTACCCATTGTACAACCCACTGTACAACCCACTGTACTACCCATTGTACAACCCACTGTGCCCACCACTGTACAACCCACTGTACAACCCACTGTACTACCCACTGTACAACCCACTGTACAATCCACTGTACAACCCACTGTACAATCCATTGTACATCCCACTGTACAACCCACTGTACAACCCACTGTACAACCCACTGTACAACCCACTGTACAACTCACTGTACAACCCATTGTACCACCCACTGTACAACCCACTGTACAACCCACTGTACCACCCACTGTATCACCCACTGTACAACCCACTGTACCGTGCAGAAGCTGTACCGGTTCATCAACAGCGTAGAGCCCGTCTCCCTTTTGTACTACCCATTATACAACCTATTGTACAACCTTATACAACCCATTGTACAACCCACTGTACAACTCACTGTACAACCCATAGTACAACCCACTGTACTGTGCAAAAGTTGTACCGCTTCATCAACAGCGTGGAGCCCGTCTCCCTTTTGTACTACTCATTATACAACCTATTGTACAACCTTATACAACTCATTGTACAACTAACGGTACAACCCATTGTACAACCCACTGTAAAACCCACTGTACTGTGCAAAAGTTGTACCGCTTCATCAACAGCGTGGAGCCCGTCTCCCTTTTGTACTACCCATTATACAACCTATAATACAACCTTATACAACCCATTGTACCACCCATTATACAACCCACTGTATAACCCACAGTACATCCCACTGTACAACCCACTGTACAACCTACTGTACTGTGCAGAAGTTGTACCGGTTCATCAACAGCGTAGAGCCCGTCTCGCCGCACCACTCGGCCAAGGAGCTCGTAAACAACCTGCGTACAGGCCAGATCATGGGACTCTTCCAGAAGTCTGTTAAGAGGGTGAGTCATGTTCATGTTACATTTTCTTCTGGTGACATGTTCTTAATGTGGGTTGTTTTCACATAGTGACATGTTCTTAAGGTAGCTTATGTTCACATAGTAGCATGTTCTTTAGGTAGGTTATGATCACATAGTGGCATGTCGCTATAAGAACATAACATGTGACTATTGTTCACATAGTGACATGTTCTTGAGGTGGATTGTGTTCACATAGTGACATGTTCTTTAGGTGGGTTATGTTCACATAGTGACATGTTCTTTAGGTAGGTTATGTTCACATAGTGGCATGTCGCTATAAGAACATAACATGTGACTATTGTTCACATAGTGACATGTTCTTTAGGTAGGTTATGTTCAAATAGTGACTTGTTCTTGAAGTGGGTTATGTTCACATAGTGACATGTTCTTAAGGTAGGTTATATTCACAAAGTGACATGTTCTTAAGGTTGGTTATGTTCACATAGTGACATGTTCTCAAGGTAGGTTGTGTTCTGTTACCTGTTCTTGCATAGGTATTTATAGGTGTTGCCTCTCAATTGTGTTCTTTGTGTGCAATTATTCAATAACCAATTAATTAATGACATTAACTTATGTTCAAAAAATATTCAAGTGCATTTGTTGTGTGTACTTTGTTAAAAAATCGTTCATTTCATTCAGGAAAATTCATGTCTAATATTTACAGAAAGAAAATGAACAGAAAAGACGAAGGAAAAGCAAAGCCCAGTTCTTCGAAATGATCCAAGAAATACGGAGGTAAGTCTTACAAGAGTAGTACAGCATAATATAATGTAATATAATATGATTTTATATGAAATAATATAATAATGTCATATATTGTAATAAAATTTTATAGAATATCATCTAATAATTGAAGAATAATAACAAAAATAACTGATAACATTGTTGGATGAAGCATCAAATTGGATGAACACGATTTGATAAACGTTAAGCCTCCATAATTTACAGAAAATTGTTCATGAGAAATAATCTCTTATCCTCAACAAAACGTTCAATAAAGAACAACTTCTGCCTATTATAAGGCTATTAGGCTATTATTAGGAACAACTATTAACATAAATATATTAGCACTTTATATATTAACCCCTCCCCCCCCCATACGCAGAGTGCAGAGGGAAGGGCGGCTTTTGGTCGTGCCATCGTCGGCCGCCGGACTGTCGCCCGCCGACCCTGCTGCTAGACTTGCTGTAACAAACGCCTTTTATTCTTTGTTATTTGTTACTTGTTGTAAGTTTTTATTGTTTTCCGTGATCCGTTGTTTATAATTATTCATTGGGTTTTGCTATTATCTTTTATTATATATATCAGTTATTGTTTTTTTTGTTATTTCTTGATATTTCATATAATTTCTCGTAATTTTTTTATGTTAATAACTGTTGTTACTTGGCATTACTTGTTATTACTTGTATTTATGCTTTATCTTATTGTTTGCATTGCGTTGGCGTTCATAGCTCGTCTTATTTATTTTGTGTCATTCCTCCTCGTTTATATTTATACATTTCTATTGATTTGTATATTTTCATTGAAGTAATTATTGAATTGGATCTTTTTATTAACGAATAATTAGACTATATTGCTTCCATTTCATACTGAATTCTTGCAGGGATTTTAATTTTAGTTTGAGCCTCTTCTTGATTTTAATAATCGATACCGTAATTATGTTGATGCAATTAAGACACCGTAATTAAAATCATTAGTATAAATTTTCTATCAGTGTTATAACTATCAAGATTGAGTTTTACCTATCTCGGTTATTAATAAAATTACGAGTGCAACGTACGTCGCGATAAACGTTTTCGTTATTTATTCAGTAAAAGGTTTATTCAAGTCACAAATAACTGTGAACTTATTTTCGTGGAGAATCACCCATTGACCACCCATTGTCCACCCATAAATAACCAAATCTCCCCTATTTACCACTCATTGCCCCCCCCCTTCCTCACTGAACCTCTCCCTCCCCCAGGAATCGGACCGCCCAGGGGCGCCGGGCCCGTCCGCGTCGACATCCAGTCCCCTGCTGGCGTCCCTCGCCAAGACGCGGCGTCGTTTGTCGTCCATATTTCGGGCGTCGGAACGTCGCCCGTCCCAAACCGAAAACGGGACGTTAGAGCGTCCGATGGACGGCAGCGGGATGGACGGTCCACCGACGTCGGTGGTGGACACGTTAATTTGCGGTTCGTCTAACGTCGGCACGACAGCGGCCGTTGTTAACGTCCAGGAAGAAGACGACGTTTTCGGTGGCGGTAATTCTGAGGCTGTGGACGAATATGTCCACGAGTCGCTTAATCGGACCATCTCGTCAACCATCAGCGTCCAGTCGTCCTCCAATATGGACAGGTGTGGCCAGTGAACGTCAGTCACTAAATTAAATGAAATAATTAATTAATAAATTCATTCAAATGCCTGTTTGCGGGATTGTCTGCAGTAAACTGCATTGGAGTTACTTTAAGTTACTGTAACTTTACACAGTTACAGTTACTTTACAGTTAGGATTAAAAAAGGAGGCTTTTGCATAAATGCACACTTATTGTATTTATTAAAGGTACGTTGATGCTGCCATCATAGATACGTTGATGCTGTCATCAAAGGTACGTTATGCTGCCATCAAAGGGACGTTGATGCTGCCATCAAAGGTACGTTGATGCTGCCATCAAAGATACATTGATGCTGCCATCAAAGATACGTTGATGCTGCCATCAAAGATACGTTGATGCTGCCATCAAAGGTATGTTAATGCTGCCATCAAAGGTGCATTAATGCTGCCATCAAAGGTACGTTGATGCTGCCATCAAAGATGCGTATGAAACATTCATCACTACTGATTATTTGCCTGATGTTGTTCTAAGTTAGCTTTATTACAGTGAACTTTTTTAATGCATCTAGTAAGGACCATCAATACGGCGAAATAATCCATTAACGCTTAATAATTAGCAAAATACGGCGCTGTATCATATTACCGCTTTTCTTATTAATTCTCATTATATTAAGTCTCATTATAATAACTCACTATATTAACTATCATCATCATAACTCCCATTAAATTGAATGTAATAATAACGCTCATTATATCAACTCTCATAATATTGCTCATTATATTAATGTCATATTAGCTATCATTAAATTGAATGTAATAATGGTCATTATATTAACTCTCATCATAATAACTCTCGTTAAATTGAATATTATTAAAACGCTCATTATATTAACTCTCATAATAGTGCTCATTATAACAACTCCTATAATAGTGCTCATTATATTATCACTCATAATAGTGCTCATTACATTAACTCTCATAATAGTGCTCCTTATATTAACTCTCATAATAGTGCTCATTATTTTAACTCTCATAATAGTGCTCATTATTTTCACTCTCATAATAGTGCTCATTATATTAACTTTCTCACAGTGGTGGGCACAGTTCCGCTAATCCGCTAACCGCTAATTAGCGAAGCTAACTTTTTACTTATCGGATTAGCTGTTCAGCTAACTTTGAAAACCTTTAGCGGACCAATTAGCTTCCGCTAAATTTAGTTCCGCTAACTGGCAGTCCGCTAAAAATGTTTTAAAATCTCTGATTTAATGCTAAGTATCGTAAGCCGTGTGCCACGCCCACACTGACGGCTGACTACGTCATCAAATGTTCATCAGCCAATCACGTCTTGTGTTACTGGCAGTAACACAAGACGTCCTGTACTACAGTCCTCTGGTGGACGCAATGCTGGCAGGCATCACGAAAAGGTTTGGGTCCCTCCTAGAAGACAAGGAGTGCCAGCTGGCAGCGTGCAGACGGACGCTGTACGCTCTGTCCCACAAGAGCAGCTCTACCCAGAGCGCTCTGGTAGACTTCAGCACGGCCGTGGACTTGGATGATGCACCGCCCACAGACGAAGAAAGGGCTTATCTGGAGACTGAGTTCCTGAAGGCTTCGGCTGCTTCTCCCCCACGACTAGCTAGTTCAGTCCTTAAACCAAAAAAGTCCACTTATATCCCCACGGAAATTTTAATGGATGAGTCCACAATAAAGGTGATCCAGTGCGAACAACCTCTCGATGACTCAATGGATGACGAGGCGCGAGAACTTATGTCCCTTGCGAACAGCACGTGTCCTGAACATGCTGTTCACTTGCCATTTATGTGTTCTTCCAATCAGACTTTCCCAACACAAACTATACAGGCTTCGTATTCAGCTTATTCACATCACTCACCGCCTCTTATATGCCCCATTCCCATACGTCCTCTGCCTCGGCAGGGGAGTGTGCCTTTCGATTCTGTCTCGTTTCACGTTCATTCACACACGAGTCGTAAGCCGGGACTGCTTCAATCTCATTCACAGGACTATGTGAGTAGCACCAAGTCGTCCCCTACGCCAAAAAGTAGATTATCGTCACGAATATCACCGTTACCGGGACTGTTACGTACGTCACCGTTACCAGGACTCTTCCGTGCGTCACCGTTACCGGGACTTTTTCGTACGTCTCCGCTGAAAGGATTGTACGCAACCCCAAAAAGTGACAATCACAAGACGTCCCTGCAAGATACAAATTTCCCGGCAGCGTCTTTTCGGAGGCCCAAAGAAGGCGAAATGATATCTTCAGGTAGGCAGATTTTTTTTATCCTCTTATTCTAATCATTTGACTTCATGCTATTTGTTTTATATTTTTTATAATGCAACGGTACTCGAAAGCATTAATTTGGTCTCACGTTGTACGAATTTTTATTCCATCAGAACTTAATGTGCAATAATCAGTAAATCAAGCAATTAAAAATACGGTCCGTAAGTTTATTATTCATGGTGACAACTGAGCTAGAGATTAATATTCTCATTCTAGTCTTGTAGACTATCCAGAAAAATTTATTCGATATGTTACCTGATTTTGCATCGGACAAAGTTTGTGTAAAAATTCATATTCATTTCTTGCAGGTTTTGGTGAATTATTATTTATCGTAGTCTCGAGTTCAATCGGTTCTTTGTTTTGCGTTAAGCTCCATTCAATCGAATATTTGACTTTTCTTAATTCCTCGGATCTAAAATTTTTCGCAAGAAACACGAATGTGGGCAAGAAATGGAATGTTGGATTTTAAAGACTGCTGCTTTGACGTTTTTTTAATTTAGATTTATTATTAGAACGTTATGAATGTCTTCATAGTTAGCAGGTTAATATTTCACTTCATACCTATCCTGTAACTCAACAGAGTGTCATGCTGGACCTGCTGACTCAGCTAGCGGCGAGCTGAGTAAGGCTCAGCTCTGGGATTTACTTCAAGCCACCGAAGCTGAGCTGAGAGCCAAGCTTTCTCAGGTCGAAACTCAGCGCGACCGTTACGCCGCTCAGCTCCTTTTGATGCAGCAGTCAACGGCCGCTCCTAGAGACTACAGGGCATATGAGTCGCTTGCAGTGTCCAATGTGATGGGGAATATGGACACAGCTGCTTATTCCAGTCAACAAATCGGAAGCATCAGGTCCCGAAAATCTCAAAGATCTCAGTTGGATATTGATCTTCACGGTCTCCAGATGAACGCTTTGCCTAGTCTCTTTGCCAATGACGCTGATCAATTAGCTGGATATCGGTCAAGGAGGAAATTCAAAACAGATGAACACTGCGTCAAGAATTCAAAAATTAGTGATTTGATTTTTGCAGATGGCTCTCAGGCTGAAAAGTTTTCAGAAGGCATTTCAACATCCGCTAATGGAAGACGGCCACGTGGAAAAATTGGTGACATTGATGATGTTCCATCAAAGAAAATCGGCAAGTCGTTTCACTTGAGCAGCGGAAACATCAACACCGAAAACAATGTTCGGAAACGCTCCAGGAAACTCCGAAGCCGTAGCAGAAGTAAGCGGAAAGTCCACAGCTGCACTTCAAGTTCCTCTGACACTACCATGGGTGCCTCTTATCCAACGGCACAAAAATCTTTGCCGTTCGCACTTAACCGACTTGCTAGAAGTCTACCCGTCGAATCGAGTGACTCGGAGATCATCGTGCAACGAAAACGTCGGAAATCTGCCACAAGACGCAGAGAAAAGTACAGAAGTAGCAGTTCCCAGCCAGAAACCGCGCTGCAAAGAAGCGACCCAAATGTCAAAGACGCCCGTGACTTGGAATCGTCTTCGAGCAAAGCGTACGGACACTTATACCGATCATTGCCTGAAGTTGACACTGTCCGGGATGAGGATTGCACCACAATTGCTACTGAATTGTCGGAAATCTGCCACAAGACGCAGAGAAAAGTACAGAAGTAGCAGTTCCCAGCCAGAAACCGCGCTGCAAAGAAGCGACCCAAATGTCAAAGACGCCCGTGACTTGGAATCGTCTTCGAGCAAAGCGTACGGGCACTTATACCGATCATTGCCTGAAGTTGACACTGTCCGGGATGAGGATTGCACCACAATTGCTACTGAATTTATTTATTCTCATGCTAGTTTACGGGACAACGCACAAGGTGATGACACAGAAGCTGGAGAATTTGACGATCTCTCGTGTATTGATATTCCTGCACCCAAGTTCGAAGATACTTCCTCTGCCGATGAATACCAAAAGTCCGATAGAACTTGCATTCGCTCGGACTACAATGTAGCATGCCCAGAAAATATCGTCCACCAACATAATTATGCCTACAGACGTTACCCTCAATACTCGGGAGTTTTCCATTCGAAGGATGACGATTTTTCCTTTAGACAAATATCGGGTGACCGAAAATTGACTGGAGCTTCTAATATCTCGCCACTTCCTATTTTAAGGTCGATGCACATACAGCAAAGCCAGCAAAAAGAACAAGAACGTCGAAAGCTAAATGAAGAAAATATACCTAACTTACGCAAGCAGTGGTTGGATCATGAACCATACAGAAGTTTCGAAGGAAACTTCGTAACTCGGGACCACTCGTCTCTGGTATCCAGATTGTCAGACCAGCCGAGAAGGACGAACTCTCGGCCAGACGATTCACTCTGGCAATCTTCCTCTCCCTGGGGACTCATCCCATCGAGGCAATACCCAAGACAGTCGGCTCATGATAACCTCTACGGTGATGTCTACGCAGTACCGCGGTCGGCTTCAAAAAAACCTACAACTTCTACCAGGTCATCCACGAGTAGTTACATGCTACCGTCTCCCTTCCGAGATTACAATTTCAGCAATCAACGTGATAGTCGCGGAAGATCTTTCACCCAAGAGCAAAGGCCAACAAACGTCGGGTTTGCATCACGTTCTGTAGATGACTCGTACCTCTTGAGAAAGGAATTCGCTGTTCAAAGAAGGTATAAATCTTCTTCATCCAAAGATAGATACACGCAAGCTGTGTCATCCGACGTGCCCTCGCGGTTTGGAAAACATGATCGTCAAGTAGACGTTCCTCTTTCCTCTTACGATGACACCAAAAGTAAATTTGAGTTTCGAGATGTTTCTTATCATGAAAAATTTTCCGGCAGTTTTAAAACTGAACCTAGTTCTTCTTCTAAGGGCGTTTTCTACCGCGATGAAACCTCCGCGCAACAAAAGCCTAACTGTAATCTTAGGAAAATTTCCAAATCGCCATATCGTTCCCATGGTTATGACGTTCAAGTTCCATCCATTTCCCAAGAAATGAAATCTTTTCCCGCACGAACGCAGAGCTCCGGTGTCGAAGAACCAAAAAACGGCATCGGCATCTCCAAAAAAGATTCGTTATCTGCTAGAAAATACCCGGAGGACTCGCGAAACTACCCTGACGACATGACGTATGAAGCTACCACAAAAGTATGATGTGTTGTTCTCGTGAGTGATTTCATCTATAATTGCGATATTTATATCTTATTTGAAGTAAAGCCACAGCTGAAATATCCGTTAGCTGTTGATGCTTACATTTTAAACAAACTTCTGACTACAGCTCCGGTATAGATTTATGCGAACAGCCTGTATTACTCTCATTTTTTATCTCTCCAAGATCCATCATGTATATCTAATAATTTTGAAAAAAATTTAAATATTTACTATTCTTATAATAATTTGTAGATCAACATGCAGTATCAGCTTGATTCTATTACAACGAAATAAATGCAAGCGCAAAGCCTCGGCAATTGGCATGTTAATGATTTCTATACTGATTAAGTGGTTACAAATATTCCCCCAGTCTCATCGAACCTGTAAAAGATTCGTTTCATGTTCTCAAACGTTTTTAGCAACGACACGAGAATTTTATCATAACTTGTTTTCCATCAAGTTCTCTCTTTGTTATGTTTACATACAAGACTACGTTGCCTGTGTCTCCTGGCGTGATAATATAATTCAGTTTGCCTTCATTTTTCTCCATGGTGATCTTATAACATGTCATCAGTAAACCTTAAGTGAGCTGTTTCCTGACTTGCTAAAATAATTTTCCTTCACTTTCCTGATATAACTGAGTTTCCCTTCATTGGAAGTCTGCGAAGTTCTTACAAAATGTTATCAGTGAAATAACCAAGTTACAAATCTTCTAGCCAGTAATTGTGACTGCCTTGTTGCCACACAGCCTCATAATTTACGCACTAGTAGTGGAAGCGAAGAAAATATTTTCCCCTACGCTCCTTATCTCGAATTTTTGTGTGCTTCAGCATCAGTTCCATAAAACAAATTGAATCAAATGGTCGAACGGACCTCATTTTTTACACTCATCGCTAAGTATCACTGGTTTTTCTTAAACAATCTATGAGAATCTATTGCCGCAGAATTCTAATTTATCGTAAATTCTTTGGTGCAGCTCGGTTCATGTTGTCAGTTTCATGTTACTAATGAATTTTTTACAAGGGCAGAATCGCCCAACAATTCCAATGTTTTGTGGTATTTTGCTATCAATTCCCGAGTTTCGTGATATCGCTTGTTGATATTGGACATTTTCCGTTTAAACTCGCGTTTTTTTACAGGTTATAAATTTACAGTTTATTAATAGCAGTGTCACTGTAGTTATTTTTATTAAATAAGTTTTCCCAACAATTTACTTAATTGCATGCCATACTTCAGTAACTCGGTCAATAAAATATTTTGTTTAATTCAGCCTCTTGTATGAATATCTTTTTATATTTTTATGTCATATTTAAATTGAGTTGAGGCCACATTCCCTAGTTAAATGACATCGGTGGATTATTGCTATTTCGCTCCAGTTTTAGACATCGTTGACGTGGAGATCGTTAGTCAACTCTCAAGTAGAAACTGTGAATTTACATACGATTTTGTTGTTCCTAAGGAAGGATTAGATTTTCATATTAGATTTACGTCAATACGAGCAGAGATGCTGATTATCGAGTTAAATCTTTACTTTAAATCTGACCTCTGCTTCTGGTATTTACAGCAGAGCGGTGAGTAGTGGTGTAGCAAATAGGTCGTGCTTCTGTGCTCATTTGTTAGTATACTTTTCTGCTATAGTGATTAGTGGTTCAATTAAATTTATTTAGTCTCAATTATATATAGTTAGGCTCTTGTATTAGCATTACTTTTAATATATTCCAATAGACTTTTTGAAGTTCAAGCCTCTGTTGTTAGTATTGTTACTAATCATTACGTTTCAGTTAGCAAGTTTCCCCAACAAGCGATTCGGGAAACTTTCGGGATTTCCATAATTATTGCATGAATATTTCTGTGTCGTTCTTGAATATTTAGACTTTAGATTGAATTTTTAGCTTTCACACTCTAAATTTTGTTGCTCAATTAGCCTTTGCGTTTCTGTGATAAATTTATCGCTGTTTCATCGGTGAAGTTATAGAAAGGACATAATTTTTAGGAACACTTTTGTTTTCATTTAATTTGATCGAAGAAGTTTTTAATACAACAATAAATTAACGCCCTTTCTGAAAGAAATCACTCGAATTAATTAATTCCATTCTTGATTACAATTTGACTTCCATAATTTGAGAGAAAATGGAAGTGAATAGCGTATTCGAGTGAATAGCATATAATTTACATTCTATTGTAGACATTCACTGCTCTTTAGGATAGTCGTTTTTAGGACTTAATGTTCAGGATTTACTGTGTTCACGTTGAAGTGCTAGTGTTACAAGCACAGAAAAAAAGTATATTGAAGTTGAACTTCAATTTAGGATACTAAACATTCATGTTTCTAGATCGTGCTGTACGCTTTCCTCTATATCTTGAGGTGGCCGGTTTATACAGATAATTTTGCAATGAACGTTTTACTTTTACCTTTTAACAGTAATTTGTTTTCAAATTTTGATTTTCTTATGAACAAGTGCCAGAAAATCGATAATTCATAAAAGAGTCTGATTCATAAAAGATCTCTATTCATTTTATGTCAAAAAATTCAAACTATGCAATAAATTTGTTTTAGAGATCGTTTGGCTTTTTTTTGGATAGCACTGAAATTGAGAGTCAGTTTCTGAATAAATTTTTAACGATTTTTTTTATGAACCAAACTTGTACTAATTGATTATTCAATGTCAATGCCCTCCAAGAAATTATATTGAGAACAAAAAACTTTAAACAGGACACGTCGCATACGGTTATTTCAATGTTATTAACGAATTCCAATGAATGAGAAACACTGAATACTGTGCTAAGACAACTTATGTATAGAACTTTTCCTATCATATACGCTGAGTACGCATTACTGTCGCTTTCATTCTATATCAATTACGATTCTGTAACAACATCCATAATAACGGTCTGAGGTTAGGTATTTAATTGCTAAGTTTCGTTCAAATCCATTCAGTAGTTTTGGAAGGAATTTCTTGATTACTGCGAATTTAAGCACGTATTGCTGTTTAAATCACGAATGAAGGTGAAATGGAAAACATCTCGCGAACAAAGGCACAAAAGAATAAATTTTCATGAGCTAAACATTAACGTTCGGTAGTTATGACTGTAAATTCAAAATTTCGTTCGAATCTGCTCAATAGTTTTAAAAAAATTTCTTGATTACCCGGTACTGTGAATTTCGGCCCGTATTGCCATATAACTATGGCAAACACAAATGAAGGCAAAAAAAAATCACGAGCTTAACATTACCGTTAGGTCCTAATGAATACGTGTACCGCGTTTCATCGAGTTAAGTTCATTAGTTTGAGAAATATTACTTGAACATTGAATTGGAAATTGGCCGTGAGATCGGCCGCGAGTCCGGCCGTTAATGTGTCCGAGACGTAAACCCAGGAGAGGTTTAAAAAACAGATCTGGGTGAAAAAACCATCGCTGGGAGTCAAGTGCTGCACGTGTTGTGTACAAATCGTTAAACAAACGTTCGAACTTCTGACTTCGACTTCGGACTACCGCCCCCCTATCGCCCCCCAAACGTCCTCTTCTTCATTACCGCCCCCCAAAAATTTTTCACCGCCCCTAGGGGGGCGATATCGTCCACTTTGGGAACCACTGCTCTATATCTTGAGGTGGCCGGTTTATACAGATAATTTTGCAATGAACGTTTTACTTTTACCTTTTAACAGTAATTTGTTTTCAAATTTTGATTTTCTTATGAACAAGTGCCAGAAAATCGATAATTCATAAAAGAGTCTGATTCATAAAAGATCTCTATTCATTTTATGTCAAAAAATTCAAACTATGCAATAAATTTGTTTTAGAGATCGTTTGGCTTTTTTTTGGATAGCACTGAAATTGAGAGTCAGTTTCTGAATAAATTTTTAACGATTTTTTTTATGAACCAAACTTGTACTAATTGATTATTCAATGTCAATGCCCTCCAAGAAATTATATTGAGAACAAAAAACTTTAAACAGGACGCGTCGCATACGGTTATTTCAATGTTATTAACGAATTTCAATGAATGAGAAACACTGTATACTGTGCTCAGACAACTTATGTATAGAACTTTTCCTATCATATACGCTGAGTACGCATTACTGTCGCTTTCATTCTATATCAATTACGATTCTGTAACAACATCCATAATAACGGCTGGTCTGACGATTTCGTATCTCTCAAAAATTAGTGGGACTTTATAAAAGAATCGAAGCATTATTTATTTATTATATTTATTATTTATAGACTCGGTTTAGCCCGAAATAAGATTGTATCAGTGCTACGTTTGCTCTCTCCTCATGTCGCGGGTAAGAAACTGTGTCACAAAACTACCTGTTCATTTTAATGAGTGATATGGACAGTCGTCCTGACTACATTGATTTTTTTTATTCAATCATGAACTTCACATCAAATTGAATTATGTATGAAATTGTTCTTCACCATGAACAAGCAAATAGGGTGCTTTAATAAAATATTTGTTTACAATAACTTATGTAGTTTAGGAGCCGTTGTAAAGGCAAATGATTCTATGGAAAAGACAAAAATTAAATATAGTTTCTTTGGAAACATATTCGGCCTTTTCAGATTGACTAGAGGAAAGTTCACGCTTTCAACTCACAGCGATTTGCCGGTTTTCGTGGATCGAATCGCTAACAATGTGGAGCTAAATTGTTATTTATTCTTCGGTTAGTCATTTTTCTGGCAAAATCAAAGTAGCCAATTCTCACTAGATCTTGGGCCTAGAGTAGTTGAATAGTATTAGTAGCTTAATATATTTTATCATTAATTTTATAAAAAAAAGATGGGCTGGGTGTACCATCGGTTATTATTTTATCATTATATTATTATTGTATATTATAATTCTTACGTTAAAATTTATAATGACAATGACTTCTTGGAGCCAAAGCGAAGAAACGAACCTCGTAAATATTTCTCAAATCTTTATTTTAAATCTGACGATAATTAATTAACTGAATATAATAAATCTACTTCGATCATTCAATGTACGTAAACCGTTATAAGATTTATATCGTATTCTGAAACGATTACTTGAAAAAATCTCTTTCAATGCTATCAACATATGTTGGTTTTGTCCACAAGGAGAATTTGCCCATGCTTATTTCTTGAAAAGTATTGTTCATATTAAGGTTTGCAACTGACTGTTCTAGACTGTAACGTATTTTGTTTAGTTTCAGTTTAAACGAGTTATGTTAGAATTGGTTAACGATTGTTAGTTACCTACATACCAAGTTATAGTATGGTATAGATTGTTTTGTAATATTAGGCCACCTATATTAATGAACAATGCAATTTATTATAGAATTAGTGTAGTTATCTATAAATGAATGCTTGCCGTGAGGCCGCTGCGCAATATTCGAAAAAAGTAGGTTTTTTACTGGTGCAAGTTAACGAAGTGTAGCAGTTGTGCTGCTGGAAGATCACATTGTGCATATGTAGATTAATATAAAATTTTATAAACAATCCGTTTCTTCATGTCTTTCTTGAACCTACATTGGAAAAATCGAGCATATTATCAATATTGTAGTTCCACGTGGCCGTATTAAAATATGTAACCTTCCGAAAAGTGCTGTATTATGGAAACCGGGATTATTTCTCCAACCAATTTTCAGAAATACAGAGAAAAAGCAAATTGAAAAGCTGCAAAAAATGTGATATAATAGATCTAAAGGACATTAGTCACGCCCATTAACATATCAAGCCCAAGATGTTCAGAGGGTTCGAGGAGAATAATGCAAAAATGAGAAATAGAAAAATAATAATATCAAAATAAGTAATCGCAGTGTATTTATGCCAAAAAAGCATTATTGGCTCAGATACTAACTATTACTAAAGAAAAAAAATCAAACAATGCACATAATTGGCTTACTAGCAAACTAATTGTGAAAATGTCATAACTTTTATTGTAATCACTCTATATGTTGCGCTTTATCTAAACTCTTCAGTCTAAAGCAACTTTATTTCACCATTCGTTTTCAAGAAGTATTAATGAGAAGAATCATTGGCGACTCGATCGGCATTATGAGTATAGGTAAGGTTTGTAAGCACTTAAGAATGAGAGATTACCAAATAGATACTATATAAATACTTAAATAATTACTATCAGTAGATCGATGCCTCCTTGCGGATTTCACCTATTGTAGACGCTGGACTGGAAAGTAACACACGCGATGTGTGAAGGTGTAGTGACTCGATCATAACTCGCACTATCATTTCTTGTGAATGTCGTAATTATTTTTATTAACTCTTCAAACTCGTTAATCACCAATTTCTATAGCTATTCGCAACTTAATTACTTAGAAACTTGCCTATTACTTCCTATGTCGTCAATTTAACTTTTGAATAATCATGCAAACATTCTGTCAAGAGATATTATCAATTTTCTAGCACTAACAATATTCGTATGATTTTTGTGTTTCAAATAGTTCGATATACAACAAAAATACTTTTATATTTAATTCGATCACTCGAAAGTTGTGATTTTTGTTCAGAGCGTACTAGCGGACAGAGCTAGAACCATACGGTAGAATCACTTTGCTTTTTCACGTCGATGTGTTAAGATCTCCATGGTTACGGGATAAGAGTGATTTAAACTTGGCTAATTGCGATTAAAAATTTCAAAGTGGAACCGTCAGAACGGTTCACTTCTTCTAGTTCAATATAGCCTAGTTCATGAATCATGACAGATGTGAGATGAATGATGATGACTTCATGTTGTTTGTCTGTCTGCTACAAATGTTTTTATAAATATTTAACACATTTCTACCTGTCCAATCCATCTGAAATTTTGCACACTTCACACTTGTGTAAAGTAGGATACAATGCATGAATCAATTGATGGAATAATAAAGTAATAAAATATATTTTTTGTATCAATATTTTGAAATAAAATGAGAAACTCATTTTACATGGTCATTTGTCTATTGGAGAGTCGGAGACACCTAGACATTAGCCTATTTAGAAGTGTGGTCTTTAAAAAGTAAATTTTGAATGCATATTATTATTGAATATTGTACCTATTTGTATCTGTGTGTTTACCAGATTCATTTTTATTATGCCTCAAATGACACCAAGGAGTACCTAGGTATAGCTTATTATCTTATAGGCTAGTGCTAGGCGTAGGCTAGGCTAGCATGTGTGCAAGTCAAAGGGTCTCACAAAACCCAAGGGTGAAGTGTTATGACAATTCCATTTCTGAACAAATAATAAAAAAAATGACAGTCATGGCATGACTTTGCATCACAGTGCAAATGTTCAAATCATCAAATCAAATAAACATCAAAATTTGATGTTAACACTTTTCTGCAGGAAGCAGGATTGCAGGTGTAGGACACTAAGGACAGCAGGAGCAGCTGGAAGGTGCATAAAATAAAACAACTTTACAGAAAAAAGTGGATTACAATTGATTTTTTCAGTCAGAAACTCAGTCAGTTTATAAATTTTTTGTTCATAAATTTTTTTTGTATGCCATTATTTTATTTTTTGAGCCATTGATATGTTTTTCAATACCATTGCCATTTGCCTCAGCCAGTCCTTGTTTAGAAATTTCCAAGCTAGATCCAAGAACCTAGTACGGTACCTACCTAATTGCTCATTTATTGCCATGGCACAGGCCACTCTACTTAACACTCTCCTAACTCCTTAGAAACTGCACTGTGCAGTGTGCTGTGTGCACATATGATATAGGTATTCACATATATACCTTGCCAGGTTGCTGCTGAAGCTGGCAGGAATCTATCTACATCTCCATCTGTAATTAAAGCTTTTTTCCATTTTTAGACCCTCAAGTTTCCTGCTAGATGAATAATCCCTATTACAAGATTACATTTAATTTATATCAAATATAGGTAAATGAAATATATTTATTCATGTTTGAATAGGTATAAGTAATCAGTGAAATAGGCACTGAAATAACTTCAAGGCCAGATTTTTATTTTATTAAAGCTGTTTTTACTTGTTAATTTTTATTTATATCAGTGGGAATCTTACAAGTCATTCTCAAACATTTTTGCAAAGTTCTACAATAAAAAGCAAATGTTGGGAGGTTTTATCAAATTTTTGTATACATAGTAAATTTTACCATGAATTTCATGCAAAGTCTTAAAGTAATGTAAATTAAAATTTAAATTGCTATTTCCATTTTCCAGCTTGGGACAGATGCACTGGCCATGCGTTACAGAGGCTTCTCATTGCTGCCAAAATTATCAGATGTTTCCTCAAATCCATGGCAAGCCAGCAATCCTCTTCATTCCCCACAAGAAAATCAATTACAAGCATCCAGGAATTTCGTAGAAAATTTGACTGAACTTTCAATAAATTGCCCAGACTTTGTGCCTTCTCAGCCTGAAAAGTTTACTAATGGCAATGTTTCAGGAAATTGTGAAGAAAATTTGAAACGTTCCTCATTGAGAAGATATCCTGTGATCAACCTGATGTCTCAAGAAGTTTTCAAGAAAATGGGCTCAATAAATCTAGAGAAATTCTCAACACTTCTGAAGACAATCTCCACCATTTATTAATGTCAGGCTGCCCACCAGATCCATCACGTCTGGAATCCATGGACCTTTTTGGCGAGTTATCCACGGACAACAACCCATCAGTTTTCCAGATGCAGCAGGAGTTCAGACGAAGTTATGTGTGGGATCATATAATGCTGGAGGTGTGCCTTTAAATGATCTGGGTGAGGAATTGGGATCTACTCCTTCACATATTCCTGTAAATCACATGAATGATAAGAACCACACCCGTTATCTTGGTACGTGTGTCAAAAGACTTCTATCTCAGGATGAATTTTTGAAAAATGACTTGAAAAGTGCTAGGCAAAATTCTGCACATACGAAAAATAATCCTGCAGTGTATGGAGCCATATAATGGAGGGTTTGATACCACAAGAGAAGCTCTGAAGGTAGCTGCCGAGGAGGCCATGGTTATGAATTCTTCCATCAATTATCATATGTAAGTTCAATTAATATATGTAAGTGACAATTTCTATCAGAGTTAAACCATTATAAAAGTTTTAACAACCAAATGGCACAAAAGAATGCATTTTGGTTATCCAGAAATTACATTTTTTCTGATATGACATGTCAGGCTATGTTCGTAACTAATACAATATATATCCATGCAATATAGTACTTATTTAGTGTATGTATTCTAATGTGTTTGCAGGTTGATACTGTAGAAACTGTAGGTACTATCTTGCTCTACCCATTTTAGAACTATAATATGTAGGTAGATAGAAATGTGTGAAGCTGTCACCATAATGTGATGATGGCATAATGGTGTGAATAAAAATGGCCTTAATGGCAACCCTAGATACATAAACTAGAAAGCTATTAATAAATGAAGCTGGGTTATACTCATCCATAATTCATTTGCAATTCTTCTATTTATGATTATTTTATTTACTAATTAATGTAGTCAAGATTATTTTATTTATTAATTCATATACCTATTTAATATTATTATAATTATTAATTCATGTATTTGAGATTATTTTTTTATCAATTTATGTATTTAAGGTTAAATTTTTATTAATCCATGTACCTATTTAAGATTATTTTAATCAATAATTTAATGTATATAAGATTAAATTATTTGTTGATTCATGTATATATGACAAATTTATTTATTAAATCATGTATTGAGATTACTAAATTTTTTATTCATGTTTTTAATATGAATTTATATTTTGATTCATGTATTTAAGATTAATTTATTTACTATTTCACATATTTGAGATTATTTGAAAGCTATTTACTAAACCCACCCCTCTACAGGCAGGAAGCTGTGCCACTTGACGCCCGGTCAACGTTCTTCATTGCTACGAGCGCTGACAGGTGAATAGCCTGCCT